ACTCGTTAAAAGCTCATTAGCAAAGACAGGGAGCTGTGTGTTAGAGCAACCTCAGGATCTGAGGGCATTTTTGCCCAGTGCCCAGTCTTGGCAGTGAAAGGAGGTTGTAGCCAGGCGGGATCGGTCTGTTCTCCCAAGTAACAATCACTAGGACAAGAGGAAACAGCCTCAAGTTGTGCCAGGGAAGATTTAGATCGGATTTGGGGCAAAATTTCTTCACCAAAAGGGTTGTCCAGGCCTGGCACAGCTGCCCAGGGCAGTGGTGGAGTCTCTGTCCCTGGAGGGATTTACATGACGTGTGGTTGTGGTGCCTGGGGACATGGGATAGTGGAGGGCTTGGCAGTGCTGGGTTAACAGTCAGATCTGATGATCTTGGACATCCTTTCCAACCTGTGATTTTATGATTCTGGGGGAGGCACAACTTCCTGGAAGGGAACTGCAGGCAGTGCTGGACAGTGGGCTGGGAACAGCTTGTCCGGCTGCAGCGAGCGATGCTGCGGCTTTGGCACCACGCCTGTTTGCTTCCAAACTTTCTGTATTTTAGTTGTGATAGGGGTTTTGCAGAGGAAAACCAAGGAAAAGTACCTCTGTGGTTAAGGAAGTACCTTGAGGAGGCAGCTGAGGCCAGGCTGCCTCCCTGCCCTTGCGGGTGCTCTGCCTCTGGTCGTGGAAGGGCTTGTCCATGTGGCCCTTCTCCAGCTGTCAGCACGTGCCTGGAGCAGTTGGTGGCTTTTCCAGGTGCCCACCAGCACACCTCCAAACTGGGTGTGCTGGGGGCTCAATCCCTTTCCTGGGGTCATCCCTGCTCCCTCCTGCAGCTGGGAAGGGGGGGCTACCCTTCCCCTCCCCTCTCACACGCCGCGTTTGTGAGCAGGACGTGTGCACCTTCCTCTCCCTTTCCCCTTCCTCTTGCTCGTTCCTTCTCCCCCTCTTTACTTTCTTTTTTCATCTCCTTCCATCTGTCCTTCTCACATCAGGCTATTTTGGGCTGAGTTTCTCACTGTCAATATGGTAGGAACCGTGGTGCAGCTCATGTCTTTAGAGCATGAGCAGCACTTCAGGAAGCCTTCCCAAGCACTTACCTTGCTTGGCTCATCTTAACCCCCCCTGCCTTGACCTCATCTTGAAGGCATTTTGAGATCAGGGTGAAAAGGCATTAAATCCTTCCCATGGCCAGAGGAGAAAGGCATCAGATTTAATACCTTTTTGCCCTGGTCTCCAAACACCTCTGAGCCTTGCAAGTGGTGATTAAGCAGCCTGAAGCCAAGTGTGGTGTTGGCAGGTCATTACTTGTGTCTTTTTAACTCTCAGAGGCTTTAAGTCAAGGCATGATTTTGTTTTTTGGGTTTTTTTTTTGTTTGGAAATGATGGCTGTAAATTGAATAGGAAATGCAGAACCAGGGGTGAATTTTTAATACTCTTCATTTACCAAAAATCCAGGAGACAGCAGGGAAGGCGCAGGGCTGGCAGGGAGTTTGCTGGGAGGGAGCAGGGCTCTCTGTGAGCTGGGCTGAGCTGCAGCTGTGCTTTGCTGCTCTCTCCATCTGAGCATCCTCGAGCACTTGAAAGGCAGGGACAGTTTTTAGCCTCAAATTATCTGCATGAGGCAGATGAGCCAAATGCCACCTGGATCCTGCAGCGCCCTGGCAGGGCTGGGAGCAGAGCCGGGGCTTGGCATGGCTGCCTTCCTCCCCTGGAGAGAAGGGGCTGGTTCTGCTACCCAAATTCTTGGGGTACTGGAGCCCAGGGGTGCTGCTCACATCCCTGCCCAGCTCAGGGGAGCAGAACTGCTTTGCTGGGGTGTGCTGGAGCCGGAGCTGAGGAGGCAGATGAGGTGCAAGGTGGCTGCTCAGCTGAGGAGCTGCCTCCAGCATGGGTGGGCAGGTGATTGCTCTCTTTTACATAAGTAAGGTTTATTATGGCTTTTGTTCTAATAATAAATGTGCCTTTGTCTCTTCACCTTCTAATAAAACCTTTCTTTTTTGTAAGGGGCTGCAGCTTGAAAGGTGGGGGCAGACGTGTCTCTGGAGCAGCCAAGTTCCTTCCCCCTCTGCTCCTCTCCTTTCTCCCATCCTTTCCTGCTCTGCCCTTCTCTCTGGGAGGTGCTGCTTGTGCCAGCCAGGAGCTTGGCATTGTGATTTAATGCTTAGCAACACCAGGGCAAGGGGCCTCAGCTTTCCCTGTCTGGGTATGGCATTTGTCTCCCAGGCCCCAGACTCCAGGAGGGAGCGAAGGTCGGGCTCGCAGCCTGTGCCATGGTTATTTTCCATGGTAGGAATGAGATGAGTTGAGGTTTGTCTGCACAGGGATACCCAGGGAGGCAGATCTGGATGAAATAAAAAGGTGAATTTGAAGCAGATTATCTAAAACCCATTAAAAGCCAGTGCAACCTTTCTGACGCCGTTAAAGGGTTTTAGTTCTGTCTGTTGTAAATCACGGATAATAAGTTTTGGGATCTGGAAAACAGCTGTTTTCCAGATGAGATTTGGAATGATTTTTAGTTTTCTTAGAAAAATTTCCATATTTTCTCAGCGATTGGACTGTTTATGAGAATTTGGGTGCCTGGTGGGAAGGAGGAGTCTGAGGAAGGTGTCCTGGGAATCCTGCTGGCTCATCCCAGTGCTCTGGAACCCACAGTGGTGCCAGACCTGCAGGGTCTGCAGGACCCCATCGGGCTGTGTGATTAAATGTGCTTCTGCTGTTTGGTTTTCAGGAGTGTTGTTGTGCACTGGGGAGCTGCAGCTGGAATGAGCCCCTTCCCGACTGCCAGCTGGCACTAGATTAGGAGAAAACCAAATCATCCGCTGATTCTTTCCCCATAAACATCTCTGCGAGGCATAAAAGGCTACTGTTCAAAACCAAACACAAGTGGAGGGGCTTGAGCAGCCCCTGCTGCTAACGTGGGATAATCCAATTTGGCAGGAGGGAGGCTGAGCTGGCGAGCTCCTTCCCGCGGGCTGTGCCTACCTCTGGTCTGCAGCTGGAGAAAATCTGGGGTGGTTGTCACCAATAAATGCCAGGACTGCTCCGAGGGACAGCACAGCTGATAGACCCACCCCAGGGCTTGTTCTTGCTGTGAGACACAGCACGAGGGACCACTTGGTGTGAGCTCACTGCTCCAGGAGGGTCACACAAGAAAGCTGGAGATGAGCAGGGAAGAGGGGTGAGAGGCAGGTGGGAGAGGGGCAGGAGCTGGGGGTGTTCAGCCAGAGAAGAGAAGCCTCTGGAGAGACCTTCAGTACCTAAAGGGGCTCTAAGAGAGCTGGAGAGGGACTTTGGATAAGGGCCTGGAGTGACAGGATAAGGGGGAATGGCTTCTCACTGCCAGAGGGCAGGGTTAGATGGGATACTGGGGAGAAATTCTTCCCTGGGAGGGAGGTGAGGCCCTGGCACAGGTTGCCCAGAGAAGCTGTGGCTGCCCCTGGATCCCTGGAAGTGTTCCAGGCTGGGTTGGACAGGACTTGGAGCAACCTGGGCTAGTGGAAGGTGTCCCTGCCCATGGCAGGGGGTGGAACGAGATGAGCTTTAAAGTCTCTTCCAACCCAAACCATCCTCGGATTCCATGATTATGCTGCTTTTAAGGGAACTGATAAGCACAAGATTTGTCCTATTTGTCCCCAGCCCCTCCTGCCCCGCGACCCCCCAAGAACTCCCCATTTAGGGTTGGGGGCCTTGCAGCCTCCTGTCATGGGAGGTGGGGCTGTGTCTAGACGGCATCACCTCACCCCACATCGAATCCCTGCTCCCTCCTGCCAGGCCCCGGCATCTCTCCCAAATGGAGCATCTCCCGTGGCTTTCCCAGATCTGAGGTGTGGGGACATTGCTGTCGGTGTCCCCCGGGGTGGTGGCTCCAGTGGGACATCCTGTGCTCCCTCTGAGCTCCCCCCTGCAGCCCTCACAGGGATCAGAGCCGAGGAGCAGCAGCAGCAGCAAAGTAAATCACGTCGCAGGGAGGCTGCTCCGCGTGCCCGGGAGCTGAGGGATGGATCGGCTTCCTTTGGACTCGCATTTTCACTGAAATGTGGATTTATTGCTTTTATTTATTTTGCACTGTGCTGGAGTGCTGGAGTGCTGTGGCCTCATAAAGCAAAAGCAAAATACAAGAAAAATCTTTATGAGCTGCAAGTGCCCCGTTGGCTTGGGTGATATTTCTCGGTTGTCCTGGCTCGTGGTAAATAAGGAGAGGAGAGAGGGCACTGCTGGAGCAGGGAAGGGCTGAGGCTCAGGCAGGTTCAGGGCACTGCTGGAGCAGGGAAGGGCTCAGGCTCAGCTAATGCTATTGGTGATGGGGACCCAGAGCCATCCCAGGGATCTCTGGAAGAGCATCACTTTTGCAAAAGGAATTTTTCCCTTTGCAGCTCTAATTTCCCTTTGCAGCTCTGTCTGTCTGTCTGTCTGTGGGATGTACAGTACACGAGCACAGGCCCTTTGCCTCCCACCCGCTCTCATATTTCTTTATGTTCTTCTTTCTCCCCCTGCCCTCATCTTCCCCCCTTACCCTCATTATTCCTTTCTGTTATTTGATTTGATTTGATTTGATTTATTTTTTATGCTGTTTTATTTTCCCTTCTCTGTTCATCACTCGTGCCTGTAAAACCAGCCCAGGAGAAACACGACACTGAGTTCCTCTAAAAGCACCCCCAGCCCCTAAAAAACACCGACCTCCCAAAGCCTAATTTCTCAGCAGAGAAGGCGTGACGCTGATTAGCGGCAGAGCAGCGAGGCCGTTTGCGAGGCTCGTTTAAAAAAGAAAAAAAAAACGGCATAAAAATTGCTTTTATCCACGGAACTGAGTCCTTAAAGGGGCCAGACATTGGCAAAGCCACCAGAGCATCACTGTGTCCCTGGTGTCCCCCCCGTGGGACCTGAACGGGGAGGTGTGGTGTGACCCGCTGGGCGATGCCAGTGCCGCGGTGTCGGCGTTCCCGGTGGTTGTGCCGGTTTCCCCCCCTCGGGTGGCTGTGCCTTCCCTCACCTGCTGTGCTGCTCTCGCTCTGTAGGCCTCACGCCGAGGACTTCAGCGTGGATTCCTCCTTCTCACAGTAAGTTCTCCGCGTGTTTTCCCCGCGCCGGCGCCGCGGGAAGGGGCGAGGGCTGCGCTGGCACCGCCGGCCCCGGGGACCGTCGCTCTGCCCACAGGGAGAAGCCAACGGTGTTCTCCAGAGAGCAGAAAACCCCTTGGAATCTAGGGGGTTTGTGTGGTGTGTGGGCACTGGTGAGCAAAGTATTTTGGGCAGTACTGCTGCTGAGAACAGTGGTTGGACTTGGCTTTAAATTAGTGATGGATTAGGGGTGGATGCTCCAAGTGTTCAAGGCCACCTTGGATGGGGCTTTGAGCAGCCTGGTCTAGTGAAGGTGTCCCTGACTTTTAAAGGTCCCTTCCAACCCAAAGCAGTCTGTGATTCCATGATTATTCTGCTTTTAAGCACAGGATTTGTTCATTACTGCTCTTGGCACCGAGGAGTTGTGTATGGGACCAGCAAACCCTTCTGAAATGATCCCCACCGTGGGGAGGATTATCTGCACCCAGGGACTGGCAGGTTTCTTGGGGGAAGGAGTGATATCCTTGGCAGCAGATTGGTGATTACCCATTAACCATGAGCTCCATGCACAGACCCTAATTAAACAATGCAGATTCATCAGCACAAGCAATTAGAGGAGCAGACTCATGAGTGTCAGCCTCCAGTGTTGCAAAACAAATAAGGCGAACGAAACACAGTGTGTTATTCCATTGCTTCTTCCCTTCTTTGGGTTTTAATCTTTTAAAATTATTATCATTATTTTATTAAGAGCAAGTGGTGCCACTGCCCAGCCATGGGCAACGTCCAGACCTTGGATGGGAGACAGTGGGATGATGAGTTGAGGGATGAGCAGGTCCTTGCCCAGGGCCCACGGCTGGGGATGTGTCCTCAGTGCTGAGCGAGAGCCCTGGGACCCCACAGGGAGAGGTCTGGATCAGGTGATCCCAGAGCACATTCCAGTGCCTGAAGGGGCTCTAAGAGCTGGGGAGGGACTTTGACCAGGGCATGGAGTGGTAGGACGAGGGGGAATGTCTTCCCACTGACAGAAGGCAGGGTTAGATGGGATATTGGGAGGAAAATCTTCCCTGGGAGGGTGGAGAGGCCCTGGCACAGGTTTCCCAGAGAAGCTGTGGCTACCTCTGGATCCCTGGAAGTGTTCCAGGCTGGGTTGGACAGGGCTTGGAGCAACCTGGGTTAGTGGAAGGTGTCCCTGCCCATAGCAGGAAAGTGGAACAAGATGATCTTTAAGGTCCCTTCCAACCTAAACCATTCTATGATCTCCAACCCCTGAGTGTGTCACTGCTTCCTCCAGTGCTTGGTTTGGTGCCTGGAAATGAGCCCTGCAGCTGCTGAATACAGTTGGAGAGGGATTGCAGCTGCCTTCAGGGAACGAGGAATCGATAAAAATCCCATTCTCATTGCAATGTCCTCTCTAATAATAAAAAATAGTGTGTGTATATATATATATATTAAAAAAAAAAGAACCAAAAGTCCAGCAGGAGATTTCTTTTATATCATTACAGATTCATGAAGCCTTTCCTGGCTGGCCAGGGCCTGTGTCCCAGCTCAGTGCCCTCAGCCTGGTGCCTCCTGCCCAGCCCTTGTCCCACTGGCACACGAGTGCTTGTGTGGATGAGTTCAGGGAATTGCTCTTCTCATGGTGCAAGTTGAGTTGTCCTGAGGACTGGCCTGGGAAGCCAACCTTGGTCTTGGCAGAGTCTTTCCAGAAGTAGCTGCTTGGAGCTTGCTTTCCATCCCCTCAAAAATAAAACTGCAGCGTTGCTGCTGGAGCCAGGATGACATTACCTGCACCCAGCTGGGTTTAATTTGCTGCAGAGTGGTTGGCAATATCAATTCTTTCTCTGGGCAAAAATCACTCTCCATAATAAAACAGGAGATGGATTTTTTTTCCTGAGTTATTCCCGAGGTAAATGCACGAAATCTGGGAGAAACAAGTTTTTGAGCTTGTGGGGCATGGCATCCTGGCTCTCTGTGCAGCGTGGCTGTTGATGTGGGACTCAGTTTTGCTAATCTCTGTGGTGTGGGTCAGCATGTGCTCTGTCAGGAGCATGGGCAGCTCAGCAAACTCATTCCTGGGGATGAGGGAGCTGGTGGGAATGTCTGCCTTTCCACAGGGCTGGGACAGGGCTGTGGTGGGTGTGACAGTGCCATGGTGGATGTGACAGGGCTGTGGTGGATGTGACAGGGCTGTGGTGGATGTGACAATGCTGTGGTGGCTGTGACAGTGCCATGGTGGATGTGACAGTGCCATGGTGGCTGTGACAATGCTGTGGTGGCTGTGATGGTGTCGCAGTGGCTGTGATGGTGGCACAGTGACTGTGACTGTGCCACGGTGGCTGTCATGGTGCCTCTCAGGGGCTGCTGTGGGACCTGCTGAGTGCCTCAGCCCTGAGCACTGCCCTGATCCATCGGGATCGTCTGGGACCCTGCAGAAGGAGCAGGGAAGCAACTTCAGTCTTGCACCTACTAAGGGATGTTGGATGAGAGTGATACACTAAAACTGGCTGGATTTCCCCTGTTTGGAATACTTGGCCTTCGGGACTATGCAGCCTCTGCCACTGGTCTCCCCAGTGCTCTCATGTACCTCCCAGGCTCTGAAACATTCTCTCCTGGCCCCAGCCCTTCTCCCTGAGACAGGTGTCCCCTCTCCCCTTCCCTTGTTGGCAGGGGGGCTCTGCCCCTCAAAGTGGGAGATGGAGTGATGCCCTGGATCCCCATCCCTCTCTGGCTGCTTTGTGCTTTCTTGTTTAAAAATGTGCCAGATTTATTGGGGGAGTTGCTGCAGTGAGAGGTTTCCCGGGTGTTTGGTGGTGCCCTGGAGAAGCCGAGGCGTTCATGGAGAAAGCTCCTGCCAACGATGTCTCACGGCTCGGTGGGGAGTGGAGGGGTGTCCAGCCACCTTTGGCTCGTGGCACAGCATCAATCCTGCCCAGCTGCTTCACAGGAGGGGTGAACCCACACATCCCCCTGGCCGATGAGGGACCCCCAGGGCCGTGCACCCTGTGTTTGGAGCCGTTCTCTGCACGCTCGCTGGCACAGCCCTGCCGAAACCACAGCCTTCCTCCTTTGAGTAATTGTTCAATTACTGCTTATGGAGCGTGGGGGCAGCTTGTTCCCTGTCTCTCCCCTTGGCAGGCAGCCAGGTTGTCTGTGTGCACACAGCCTGTACAGTTATTCCCACTTTCCATCTCCAAACCCTGCGCCGGGAGCAGCTCGTCGCGCTGGCGAACCGGGAGCTCGGGTGGGAAGGGCTGGAGCTGCCCCCCCATCCTCTGCATGCCCTGGGATGGGCAGAGGATGGCAAACACGGATCACAGAGGGGGTCAGTGTGCAAAGCTCAGTGTGGCACCTGTCTCAATGTAACTTCTGAACCCAAACATCTGTTAGCAGCAAGAAAACAGTGGGGGGAAAAAAGGAAAGAGCATCCCCAGGGGAATCAGGAGGGCTGGAGGTGCAGGGAGATGTGCCTGGGTGGTCAGTGTGGTTGCCATCAGCAGGTACCTGAGCCTCAGGCTGGCTGGTTTGGTGGTTTGGGAAGGATTTGGGAAGGACTTGGCCTCAGCTCAGGTTCCCCTGGTGCCCGTGGGGCCCTGTTGGCACCGGATGCTCTGGAGGCTGAGCAGGACCGGAGGCAGCCTGGCCATGGCGTGGTGCCCTCACAGCATCCTCGTGCCTTTTGCACAGGAGCCTCTGCTGCTCCTCGTGCCACAGGATGCTGGGAGAGGAAATGCTGCAGCCCTGAGCTTCCAGCCCTGCTCCTCACCTTCCTCTGCCCCGAGCTGTGCCTGGCACAGTCTCTGGGGAGCCCCCCTGGGCCAGCAACACAGTTCCCTAATTCCAGACTTGGCCACAGCAACGTTTCTGCTGTATTTGATCCAGGTGGATTTGCACAGAGGATGCAGAGCTGTCCTATAGGCTGAGCCAGAGCAGGGGCTCACTTGGGACTGCACTGCCTTGGCAGAGTATTGCAGAGATTTCTAGGATTTTGCTGGTTGGTTTGTTTATTCTTTTAATCCCCCAAGAAATCTCTGAAGAGTCTCATTTGCATCCTGCTGCAGGATGGGGGAAATTTCTTGAGAAATTTCCTGGGACAAGAAATTGTCCCAGGTTGGATGAGGTTTGGAGCAACCTAATCTAGTGGAAGGTGTCCCTGCCCATGGCAGGTGGTTGGAATGGGATGAGCTTTAAGGTCCCTTCCAACTCAAACCATTCTAGGATTCTGTTGGAAACAGCATTTCCCACCCAGCTGAAGTGTGAGGACAAGGAGCAAAAAAGATTTTTTCTTTCCTGTCAAGGGGAATATTTATTTGAAGCCACGTTTCTCATGGCAAGAGGTGTCTTATAAAACACAGCAAAAACAACCTGGGGCACCCAAGTCCTTCAGAAAGGAGTAGTGTGGCTTGGGGCAGGTGCTGGGGCAGAGCTGGCAGTTCCTTCCCTTGACTGGCTGGTGGATTTTGGAGCTGGATTTTGGACTGAGAGGGAGAGATGTCTCAGCTTTCAGGCCAAGCCCAGCAGTTGCCACATGCCGTGGGGATCGGAGAGAGCTGCCTGTGCCCAACTGCCCATGTAAGTGTCCTGGGAATGCAGATTTTGGGGGGACATCTCCACCCACCCCTGTCCCTGCAGCACTGCCCTCATGGGGGGCTGCAGCTGGGCTGCTGTTTTTTGTATTTTCCTCTTTTTTAAGAGAACTGTGTTTGTCCCAGCTCCCTGGGGAGGGTACAGGTGCAGAGCCAGGGCTGTGCTCCTCAGTGTCTATTTTAATGCCAGTGGGGTGGGATGTGCTCGTCCTGGTCTTTCATCCTGCACTTTTTCTGAACAAACTATTGTGTCTTTTTTGGGAACTCATCATCTTACAACAAATTGCCTCTAATCTTAGATTAATAAAGTACAGTAAATAACGGAGTGAGGAGAATGAACTCGCTCAGGCATTATGAAGTGCATAATAGCAGTAATTACACTTCCAAGCACAGGGTTTATAGCTAAACTTGTGCTGGGATCGTTATCCACACGGCCCCAGGGGGGTTCAGGGGGGGAGAAGGGGGGGCAGAGGTGTGCTGTGCTGCCTCTCCCTGCCTGCAGGGTGGATCACTGCTGGTGACCCTTGGAGCTGGCTGGGCTGGGCTGGCACCACCCTGCCTGGCCAGAGGGAGGGATGCTCGCAGTGGGAAGGATGTTTGGCTGGAGGGAGGGATGTTTGACTGGCAGGAGGGATGCTTGGCCAGTGGGAAGGATGGTCCTGGTGGGATGCTTGGCCAGTGAGAAGGATGGTCTCAGTGGGAGGGATACTTGGGCAGTGGGAAGGATGGTCCCAGTGGGGAGGTTGCTCCCAGTGGGGAAGTTGCTCCCAGTGGGAAGGATGCTTGACTGGCAGCAGGGGTGCTTGGCCAGTGGGATGGATGCTGGGGCAGTGGGAAGGATGCTCCCAGTGGGGGGATGCCCAACCATGGCAGCTTGAACAGACCATCCTGTCTGAGCTGCAGGGAAGGCAGAGCCCTCAGGGTATGTTTTGGGGTGGCAACGCAGTCAGAGTTTCGCTTGATTTTTTATTTCAAGTTAATTCTTGACAATGAAATTAAAGGGTATGTTTTACATGATATCACCTCCTTCCCTCAGCTGGGAAGGGAGTAGGAGCTTTGATATTCTTGGATGGTGCAGCTGCCTGGTGAAAGCCATCCCTCACTCTGCCCTGGGCCACTGGGGTGTTGGCTGCAGAGCAGGTACCAGTGCTGGAGTGGGACTCCCATACAGCTCCAGGGGCTCAGCCCAGCTCACAGGGAGGGCAGATTATCTGCACAGGAACATGTTCTCTCTACGTTCTTTTATTGCCTTATTCTTTTTCAGTGATAAACACCCCTTTCCCCCCCCTTCCTGAGACCTACTTGAGTTGCTTTCCCAGTGTTCTCCCTCCTGCAGCCATGAGGATGGATGAATACATGGGCTACTTTGTCTTGAAAAGTTAGATCTAATCATTTAGTTCTTTTATCCACCAGCAATTATATCCATCATCTCGAGGTGGGCTGCAGAGCTATAGATCAGTGAACCATCTGGCTGGAGACAGAGATTTATATTGCTGTTTGTTTCTTTGATACAGAGACGAATGTCTGGGAGAGGAATCGTGCTCCCTGAAGTCTCCGTCTCCTCAAGGCGCTTAATCCCGAGGGACTCTGATGAATGGGGTGCTCAGCACTCTTGTCCAAGCTGAAAGCCAGTTCCCAGCATTTCCTGGGCATTTTTAATATGGAGAAGGAGCAATTAGCTTGTGTGCAGTGTTGTGAGCAGTCGTGGCAGATGATTTATGCCCTGGCACTGAAAAATTATTTGCCGAGCCTGGCTTTGGAAACGATTAATTTTGACGTGTTAGAGCCGGGTTTCTGAAGGTCTGCCTTAATGCTCTTTGCTCCTGAGGCATCGTGCTGGAGAGCCAGGGCCCATAAATTCTCCTGCTCTCTCCCTGCAGTGGGGTCTGTCCTTGCCCACCCACCTCCTTGTTCCCTTCTCATGGTGAACAAACACCAGGTTCGGTGGAAAACCCCTCTGACCACCCTCCTGCCTCTTGGGCTGCCTGGTGTGGGGCTCAGGGTGAGGGGGCTCATAAACCTCCTTCCTAATTTGCCTCCCAACCAGCTGGGTGTTAATGCTCAGTGAATATTTGTTTATCCCACTCTGTGTCAGAGTGAGGAGCAGCTGCTTCCCAATAAATCCCGACCCGGTGGCCGTGCCAGGGACACGCTCGGCCGGAGCTGGCACCACGTGTGCCCCGACAGAATAACCTGGGCAGTTTAATGACTGCCACAGGGAATTTGCTCACCCTGATCTGTGCCTTGCCTGGGAGATAGGCCTGATTAATGAGGTCTTGATGAGCTCTTCCGTGGAGTTAAAAAATGAGTAATAACAGTAGCACTTACTTAAGGGACTTGTTGAATACAGTGAACGGGGGAAGAGGCTAATTCATGGCACTTAACTCCATTATGGGCTGAACTAATAATGAGCAGACTTTGTCTTGCTCAGTCTGAAGCTGAGCAGGAGGAACTGATCCCGTTTTGCTGGCACTTGGCAGGACCAGTGTGATTTATAACCTGCCCGGGGTCACCAGTGGGTTTGCAGAGGGCTGCAGGTGTTTATAAAGTACCAGGGGAGGTGACGACAGATGAGCTGAGCTGGGGCTGGTTTTGCCCACACACCCTTCATCTGGGTGGGCTTGATCCCAGCCCCTGCTGACATCCATGGGGAGGAACCTCCAGCCTTGGTGAGGTTTTCTCCCATCCACCTGGAATGCAGGACTGGTGGGAGGGCTGTGGGTGGGGGTCAGGGGTGGAGGCAGGAGAAGCCGATGAAGGGACACTGCCCGTGGTGGTCACGGCAGTGGATGGGACATTTTTGGATTCACCAGAAATGTGGCTCCTCACTGCTGGTTCCTGTGAAGTGCCCTGGCAGGTGACTCTTGTCCCAGTGCCTCGTCCCTGTGCCACGAGTCACCAGTGGCTCCAGATGCCAAGTGATGTTTGGAGTTGGTTGTCAGCTCCTGGGTTTTTCTGGAATGACCAAATGTGGTATCTTAGCAACAAAGGGAAATTTTCTCCTTTCAGAGCTGAATTGATTTTTAACAGCTTTGATGCTGAACGTTTTTCCTACCCAGGCAGAGCCAGGGCAGTACTGGGGACGTTGCCCCTGCTCTGCTGCAGCTGTGGGGGTTGGAGCTGCTAGGGGAAGCTGCCAGGGGAAGCTGCCAGGGGAAGCTGCTCCAAGGCCACTACTTCTCTGAGAAGTTTTGGACACTGTAAAGTGTGTGTGGAAGGAGAAGTTTGTAGGTCTGATGTCAGCTGGTTGTGTGGGAATGAAAGCAAAGCCCTCAGCCCAAAGCAGACCTGGCCCTGTGGGTCAAACCTGCTGCTTTGACAGTCATTGATGTATCATGTGTTGGTGGTACTGGTGGTACTGGTGGTACTGGTGGTTCGGTACTGTGGGAGCAGCTGGGAGCCTGGGGCTGAGTCCAGGGTTGTCTGTGGGCTGTAAAGGTGGTCTCCCAGCTGGGATGGGGGGACAGGGCTCCTGGGGGCTGCTGTTCTGACCTGCCACCCCCCTGACGGGCTCCTCCGGGCGCTCTCCCCGCAGGGTGCAGGTCGAGTTCTACGTGAATGAAAACACCTTCAAGGAGCGGCTGAAGCTCTTCTTCATCAAAAACCAGCGATCCAGTGAGTGCCCTGTGCATGGAGTGTGTGTGTTCTGGGGGAAACCAAACCCTGCCCGAGCCAGTCCTGTGGGATGAGAAGCCATTGCCATCTGCTGGTGGCCGTGTCCCCATTGTGTCCCCAACCCGGGGCTGCTGCTGCCTCTTGGCCTTTCTGTTGGGTGTTGGCCAGCTTGGTTTGGGGGTCGTGGTTGCACGAGGAGGATGGGATGCCTCCTGCCACCTCTGCTCCCTGGGAACAACCACAGCACAGGAATCAGCCAGACAAACTGGTTGGGAGCAGGGTGGGTGCCCGGAGCTGCCTGTGGTTATCAGAGAGCAAAGGTCCCCATCAGGGAGTGAGTGTCCCCATGTGCTTCCCTGAGGCCGTGGGGACAGCCAGGGCAGGCCGTGAGCTACCCACTCCTGCTCCAGCCACCCGGATTAGCCTCCACTTGACTGATGGTGTTTTTATTTTCTTTCTCCGAGATATCATTAGCTGTCTGGAGGGAGCCTGCTCGTTAATTTAGAAATTCACATTTTCTTTTTTTCTCCCTGCATCCTGTTGTCTTGTTAAAAAGCTGGAGCCCAGCACAACAGGGTGCCCACGGGGAAGTTTTTAATGAAAATGTGATGAATTTCTCACTTGTAATTTGAGTAACGACCCGATGAACTGGCTGGGGAGGGAGAGTGGATAAAGCAGCAGTTTTTGCTCGCTGTCCCTGCTCTCCTACAAGCTGGTTGCAGTGTGGTGAGCTCTGGTCTGGTGCTTTTTAATGGATGCCTGCTAATGAGGGGGGCACACTCCAGCAGCTCCTCATTCGTCTCTCACATCTATTGGGGTCAGCGAGGAGCTGACTCATCGTTATTTATTTCTGTATTCGGCTCCTGTGTGTCTGGCACGGGGGAGGACACCAAGAGCCCTGGGCAAGGTGTGAGCAACACTCCTGTGCTGCCCTGGGGCTCCGAGGGGTCCTGTGGTGGGTGGGGCTGTGCAAAGCTTGTGGGAAGCTACAGGGGTGGTGCTTTGGGGGACTGCCCAGGGTGTGAGTGGAGCACCCAGGATGCAGAGGGTGCCTGGGGTGCCCAGGGGGCTTGGGGTGCCCGGGAACGCTGCCTGCCCCATTCCATGCTCCCCTCCACCCCAGGCCTGAGGATCCGGCTCTTCAACTTCTCCCTGAAGCTGCTCACGTGCCTCCTGTACATCGTCCGTGTCCTGCTCGACAACCCCGAGGAGGGCATAGGCTGGTGAGTGCCCCTGGGCAGGGCTGGGGGTGAGGGCAGTGGCAGCTGCTCACAGCAGGTGTGGAGATGGTTTTTCCTCGCTCCAGCTCTTTGAATTGGTGGTTTAGCAAATCTTCCCAGGTTAGAGGGCTTTGCTCCCTGCTCAAATCCCATGGATGGGTGTGTGGGCACTCACTGGCCCTGCCTGGAGCACAGGGAGAGGATGGGGGAAGAATTCAGGTCACATTCATTTCCAAGAGCTGCCTGGCTTGGCCAGGGGGGCACCGTGGCCTTCAGACACAGGTGAGAGCTCACGACTCGAGTCCATCACCATGCAAATAGTTTCTGAACACTGATGCCCTTGAATACTTCTACATTAAATCCCATTTAAGCATTTGGGAGAGAAATACGTTGTGCTGTTTAGGTCCTTGAGGTGACAGATGATTCCATACATCAGCTTTGCTCCGGGTTTCAGTATAAGCCTATTTTTAATATGTCCTTGCTTTGTTTAGCTCACAAACTATTGTGCTTTTTTTTTCCAAGAGCTCGGACAATTGGCAGTTTGATTTTCTCTGTGTGAAGGCTGCAGGCTACCAAGTGCACCTGCACATTCCAAAAGTGCTTCCAAACCCATGAGAACGAAGCAGGGCACGGATGCTCATCCTTGAAAGGTTTAGTGCAGCTGCAGCTCAGGGAATTCCACTTTTCCTGAGGGTGTGTGACAGAATAAAGGCTGGCCAGCGGGAACACATCCCTCACAGCAAGGCAGGGAGAGCTTGGCTCAGTGCTGCTGCCTGGCAGGATGCTCTGCCTTGTCCCAGAAGCTGAAGCTCAGCAGCTTTTGCTAATTGTAATCTGGTAATTCCCAGTTCTCTGTGTTCCACGCTGTGCCAGGGAGTGCTGTACCTCAGGAATATTGGTGTTCTGCAGCATCTCTGCTATGGGTTGAAGTACCTGAGGGGTTTTATTCTCCAGTAATAAGATGCTCAAGGCTGCCTGGGTGAGACAGACTCCTGTGGAAAGCCCTGGCTATGGGAATCAATGTGTTTGGATCCATGGAAGTGTTGTCCTGATGCCTCCCCCAGCATCAGCACCCAGCGATGAGGGCACCACGTGGGCCTGGGGGGGTCAATCCCAGCATCCCTGTTCCTGACTGCTTTTCCTTGCTCTTTCTCTCCTAGCTGGGAATGTGAAAAGCAGAATTACACAGCATTTAACCAGTCCACGAACATAAACTGGTGAGTCAGAGCTGCTCCAGTGCTGGGGTCTGGCCCTGCCAGGGTGTGGGAATGCAGGGATGGAGGTGGCTGCTGCTGGCAGCTGCCTGTGGCCATTTCTTGGTTGTGGGGCTGCTCAAGGGATGCGGAGCATCATGCCAGAATCAAATCCATGGACGAAAGCCTGTGGCTGCACCCTTGGGAATGCCTTATTCCCAGAGCAGAGGCTGCTTGAGCAAACTGGGCAGTAGGGAGCACCAGTACCTGTGCTGGTCCTGCACCAGTGCCCTTGGGTTTGCATTCTGTGGGGGGTAACGACACTGGGTGGCTGGGCTACAGCTTAGATCCCTTTGGGATTTTCTTTGCAGGTCACACATCTTCTGGGTGGACAGAAAAACACCGCTGTGGGCTGTGCAGGTGAGCACCCAGCCCTTGGCATGGTTGGGGGGGAGCACAGAGGAGCTGGGCTTGGAGCTCTGCCCCACCTGTGATACCCAGGGGCTCCCCCTGGCACGGGGAAGGGGGGATCTGTGAGCTCTGATGGACTGACAGAGCCCAGAGAGAGCCCCCAGAGCCTTTCCCTATGTCCCTGCAGGTCAGCATCGCTCTCATCAGCTTTCTGGAGACCATGCTGCTCATCTATCTCAGCTACAAGGTGAGTGCCCAGGGAGGCAGGGGGAAGTGATGCACAGCCTGGCTCTGCCCCCCTGGCATGAATTCATTTCTCCTGTTTTGAGCTGCCTGAAGCTGGAGTGTCCCAGGAGGATGTTTGTCTCGGCGCTGTCTCAGCGCTGGCTCCGCCTGTTTTCCTTTCTCATTCCCCCTTGGGCTCCTGGATAAGTGTTGTGCAGAGCAGAATATCTTCCTTTTCTGCTTTCCCTTAAATTCAGACCTGTTTTACACGTGTTTTTAAGGGAGGTCAGACTGACACACACCGGGATTCCTAAGGCTGAGGAGCTGGAGCTGAGCTCGGCAGCGTGACTCCTGCCTGTGCCGAGCTCTGCTGCCTCCGTGGGCACTGCTCCAAACCAGACAGGGAGAGGAACAAGCTGACTCCTTTGGACCAAAGCCCCTTAAAAAAGCCAAAAAAAAGTGACCTTAACAAATGGCATCTTCTCAGGGACCCGGGGAGAGTTGGCAGAAGAGACTCAGACCCTGCATCACCCCCCTGGTTTGAGTGCCAGCGATTTGTAACAGGCACTCTCACTCTCCTTCCTTGCATGAAGCATTGTTGTCCCCCAGCAACAGTGAAAGAGAGAGGGATGTGGTGGCTGTGGAGAGGACTGGAGGGTTTGGGAATGTTTCCTGACCTCAGTGTGCCTGCCACCACCACTGCATCTCTCCTGCAGGCAAACCAGAGCATCTTCCTGGTTCCTGAAGCATATTTCCCTCATCTATAGCAGGGTCTGTGGCAGAGAGGGAGCGTTTTAATTGTCCTTTGGGAAAGTTTTAAGCTTATTTAATTCTTATTTGTTTCTAATTCCTCAGGGGAACATCTGGGAGCAGATTTTTCGCATTTCCTTCATCCTTGAGATGATCAACACGGTACCGTTTATTATCACGGTGAGTGTTTCCCAGTGACATTTGAGAGCAGCTCTAAGTGGAGTTAAAGTGCTGTAGTTCTGGAGGTGAAATAAAGAAAAATGGATGTCTGGCCAAGTAGCATTTAAAGCTGCCAGGAAGTTTTTCCTTCAATATTTTACAATATAATGACTTTCTCCGGAGCCTTATCCCAAAATCCATTCTCCCTTTTCAGCTACTCTGGTGCAGGCAGGGGAGCAGGGCTGTGTTTGGCCTCTGCTCAGCTTGAAGATGGATCCTTCCAGAAAGGGCTTGAATTGGCTGTTTATAGCTTTATTTTTTTAAAGAGCATGGATTTTACTGCAAACAACTCTTGCTTTTGTAGATATTCTGGCCTCCTCTGCGGAATTTGTTCATTCCCGTGTTTCTGAACTGCTGGCTGGCCAAGTACGCCCTGGAGAACATGATAGTGAGTGACCCCTTTTGTCCAGCTCCTCAGGGATGTGGAGGGCAGTGGGATTGGAAGGGGAGCTCTTGGATACCCCCAGCTCTGGGGAGGTTTCAGTGCTCAGTGTGTGCAGCCATGCCGGGCTGGTGGGAAGTGAGGCTTTGCCAGCTGGGAATGCCAGGCTGTGACCTGCTGTGGAGGAGCAGCAGGAGCTGCATGTTGACAGGGATGGCCAGGGATGAGTTATTTCAAACATTCTCACGTGCCCACTCGAGCTGTCTCTCCGGGCAGCAGATCCCAGACCTGCTCATGGGAATGTCCATCCCTTTCCAAGGGCCAAATACTGACCTGACCTTCATCTGGGGGGGCACTGCCGGAGCCAGCAAGAGAACAGCTGGCACTTGGAGGAGTTTGTACTTCCAGCCTCTCTGAGCCAGGGTCAGCCCTCTCCTCTCTCCCCAGAACGACCTGCACCGAGCCATCCAAAGGACCCAGTCCGCGATGTTTAACCAGGTGCTCATTCTGATCTGCACCCTCCTGTGTCTCGTTTTCACGGGGTGAGTGTTGCTCTTCATTTCACTAAATCCCCTTCCTCATCCAGGGAGACCAGCTGTGCCCATCCCGGGTTGATGGCAGGGATCACCCCTCCCTGAACACTGGGAGGGAGGTTCTAAACCAAACTAATTATCCTCCCTAACTCTATGATTTTAACAGAAACTTTTCAGCAGGCGTGTGTGAGGATGAGGGGGTTCTCAGAGGGTGATAGGAGTTTCAGAGCAGAGACAGCAGCTTCCCACAGGGACGTGGGCTCTGATGTGTGACGGCTCATTGACCAGAACCCATCACACTCGCTGGCTCTCACCACGCTCTTCCTCCCCCCCAGATCTGTGTAATAGGCCACTGGGGCTCCTGTTAATTAACTGGGCCTTTTACCCTGTGTTTCCAACAACAAGGCCATTCCTTTGGGGTGGGGGGTGCAGTGCTCATCACTGGCTACTTAGCTTTAAATTAGGCTTTGAATCTTCCCCTGGCTCCCTTGGCTTGGATTTGAGGCATATTACACCATTAAGTTGCTAAACGGAGAGGAAATGAAGCTTTCAGGCTCATGAGGTTTTGGCAATAAAGATGGTGCTCTGATGTGGGTGACTAATGCCATCTCAGAGCTCAGCAGTGCCCCTGGCCCGTGGCATCTCCTGCTGCTGGGGCCATGGATGTGTTTCTTGGTGAGGCTACAATTCTGGTCCAGCAAGACTGAGGTGACACTTGTGTTTAGCAGGATGACTTCGAGCTGCAGGTTTGTGGGGTTGTGCTGCCCTGTCTCCTGGGCTGTGATGGGGCTTTCTCCCTGCAGGACCTGTGGCATCCAGCATTTAGAAAGAGCGGGTGAGAAGCTCTCCCTCTTCAAGTCCTTCTATTTCTGCATCGTCACCTTTTCCACGGTGGGCTACGGAGATGTGACACCCAAGATCTGGCCTTCCCAGCTCCTCGTCGTCATCATGATCTGCGTCGCCCTGGTCGTGCTGCCGCTCCAGGTTAGACCTGCGTGGCTGAGGAGGGACAGGCAGGCAGAGCCTGCCCCGGGGCAGCCCTGCCGACGGGGACATCAGCTCTCTGCCTCCGCTTGCAGTTCGAGGAGCTCGTCTACCTGTGGATGGAGCGGCAGAAGTCGGGCGGCAACTACAGCCGGCACCGCGCCCAGACGGAGAAACACGTCGTGCTCTGCGTCAGCTCCCTCAAGATTGATCTCCTCATGGACTTCCTCAACGAGTTCTATGCCCACCCACGCCTGCAGGTGAGGACCAGGCGTGCTGTCCCACGGCGCTGGGCTCGCGGCCTCTCTGGGCTGGGGGCCCACCGACCCACGCCGGCCTCTCTCTTCCAGGATTACTACGTGGTGATCCTTTGCCCAACAGAGATGGACATCCAGGTGCGGCGGGTCCTGCAGATCCCTCTGTGGTCGCAGCGAGTGATCTACCTCCAGGGCTCTGCACTGAAGGACCAGGACCTCATGAGAGCCAAGTGAGCAGCCCTGCACACCCCTGGCAAGGCCGGTCCTGCCACGCTGTTGAGCTGCCCGCAGGTCCTGGCACCCCAGAGGAGGGTCCCCAGTGAGGTCACCCCAGATGTGCAATGAGGGTGTCCCTTCTCTGGGGGCTGGGAGGGGGCTGGCAGCGCCCTGGCTGGTACAGGCAGTGCCCAGCTTTGTGGACCAATGCAGTTCATGGGGTCATTGCTGTCTCTTTGCAGGATGGACAATGGAGAAGCCTGTTTCATCCTCAGCAGCCGGAACGAGGTGGACCGGACTGCGGCGGTGAGCCCAGACAGGGGATGGCACAGTCTGAGACAGTGGGGACTGGGGTGATGGGTGCATCTCACCTCTGCCCAGCACAGGAGGGTACTGGAAGGCAGCTGGGACAAGAGGATGGGGTTGAGTGCCATGGAGAGCCTCGGGGATGGCACAGGGATGGCACAGGGACATGCAGCAGTACAGTGGTGGCTGACCCCCTGTGGGCTCACCTTCCCTCTGCTGTCCTGGTTTCCCATTAGTGCTGGGTTTTGGGGCACAGTTATCCCCTGTTAGCAGTGCTGGAGGAGCCCTTGCTGTACTTCTCCAGGGTGGTGGGTATTTTGCAGGTCATCAGGTGTAGAAGCATTGGGGAGAATAAACCATCAGCCAAGTAGCTCTTGTTGCTCTTCTCCTTGGCCAGGACCACCAGACCATCCTGAGGGCCTGGGCTGTCAAAGACTTTGCTCCGAACTGTCCCCTCTATGTTCAGATCTTAAAACCAGAAAACAAATTTCATGTCAAGTTTGCAGGTGAGTTGGAGGGGCTGTGCCCCAGCTGGTGATCAGCTGAAAGCCCTCCTGGATTGGCAGGAGGAGGAAACACCCCGTCCCCAACACCACCCCAAAATTACCACATCCCCAGGCACTACCAGCCAGGGAAACCATCCGTCCCCCTCCCTGCTGTGACATTCCCTTCTGCCTTTCAGATCACGTTGTCTGTGAAGAGGAGTGCAAATACGCCATGCTGGCACTGAACTGTGTCTGCCCTGCCACCTCCACCCTCATCACGCTGCTGGTGCACACCTCCCGTGGCCAGTGAGTGCTGCCCCTGCCCTCCCCTTCCCACCCCTCCCCTTCTCTCCCCACCCCTGGCCTCCCCTGCTCCTGCCTGAGCATGGAGGGACGGCAGCACCGAGGTCTCTGAGCCCAAGGGGACGAGATGGGGGTCTGGGGTGTGTTTGGGGTAGCACAGTGGGGTCTGGGACCCCCATCCAGGTCAGGAGCAAAAGCCATATTGTAGGGGAACCATCCCAGTGCAGATGTGCTGGGCAATGCCACCTTTCCAGAGACTGGGAAAAAAAAAATCTTTATGCTGGCACAGTCCCACTGGCAGGAAGGTGAATTCACAGCCTGAGCATACCCAGACCCTGCAGGCTTTTTGGTGGGTGTATATTCAGCATGGCTGGAAGGAGCTCTGCCAGCCTGGTAGAGCAGTGGTGTGCATGTCCTGCGCTCCTTGACCAGTCAGAAATGTCTGAATTTTGGGTAAAGTGCCATCAAAACAGTTATGAAACATCCTTGCCAGATGACTCTCACCCCATGCTCGGAGCTGTTTGCCAACACGGGCTCTGAACCCTCCCTCTGCACTCTGCAGGGGCCCTCGTTAAACAAAAAGGCACTTAAAACCCGGGATGGAAACGAGCTTGTCCTCAGCAAACGCCGACAGCTCGTGGTGATGTGTTGCTGTCATCTCACCACTGTCATCTCACCGCTGTCATCTCACCGCTGTTGGGCTTGGTGGCAGCTTCAGAGATTATTAGTGCTCCTTTCCTGTGGCTCTGCCCCGGGATCTGGCTGCTGTACCAGGGGTGTCCTGCCCTGGCCGGTGTGCCGGGGTCTGTGCCAACACCGGGGTGTCCTGATCTGGCACTGTGGGATGTCCCATCCCAGCACCAAAGGGTCCATCCCAGCACTGCTGCTGTCGTTGCAGGGAGGGCCAGGAGTCCCCGGAGCAGTGGCAGCGGATGTACGGGCGCTGCTCGGGCAATGAGGTCTATCACATCCGCATGGGAGACAGCAAGTTCTTCATGGAGTACGAGGGGAAGAGCTTCACCTACGCCGCCTTCCACGCGCACAAGAAGTGAGAGCGGGGGGGCAACGGGCGGGGGTGGGCAGGAGATACCTGCCAGTCTGCATCCCTGGGGGTCAGGAGGGCGCTGCGGGGTCCCTTGTGCAGGGATAAAGCCCCGGAGGGGGTCTCTCTCCAGCTGCGAATTCCCACCTCGTGCTCCCGGCGCAGGTACGGCGTGTGCCTGATCGGCATCCGGAGGGAGGAGAACAAGAGCATCCTGCTGAACCCCGGCCCCCGGCACATCATGGCAGCGTCCGACACCTGCTTCTACATCAACATCACCAAGGAGGAGAACTCTGCCTTCATCTTCAAGCAGGAGGAGAAGCAGAAGAAGAAGGGCTTTGCGGGGAGGGGCAGCTACGACGGCCCGTCCCGCCTGCCCGTGCACAGCATCATCGCCAGCATGGGTGAGCTGGGGGCTCGTGGGCAGGGGGGAGCAGGAGCCTGCACACACCCCTCCATTGCCCTCCTCAAGTTTGGGTTCGTTTCCTTTCCCAGGTTTGGTTTGGTTTTGCTTCTTGCGCGCTCCTTGCTCTCTCCCCCACCAGTGCCAAAAACCCCTTTGCACCCCCCGTCCCGGTCACCTCACCAGTACAGCACACACATCTCCTGGCACCCTGGGTGTCCTCAGCGAGCTCAGAGATCATTATTAAACCTCACAATGTCTGTTATCATTAAGGGTGTTTGCATAAACCCCCCCAAGCCTGGATTTAGCCCCCAATTATTTCCAGGCCTGGAGGAAGAAATGCCACTGGCCACGTCCTAAATCACGTTTATGATTCCCCACGCCAGGAAAGCGCCGTTTGCTCTGCGGCGAGCGGTGCGTTTGTGCAGCTGAGGAATACCATGAGTCATTACTTCCCGCTTGTATCTGGGGAGAGCGGGTTTTGGGGAGGCTGCGCCACACGAGCACATTATATTCCAGGCAAATAATTTATGTGTTTGTACTCCTGAGCAGCAATTTGCATAGATTATCCCCCAGCAAGGCGCAGAGAGCTCTGCTGAGCACTTTTGTCACTGTTCCCGTCAAACACGGCTCCTTCACAGAGGGACCTTTGGCAAAGGGTGAAGGAAGGGGCAGAAGTGATGGGAGTGCCAGCAGGGCAGTGGTGTCTGGCAAGGCCAGTGCCTGGGCTCTGCTTAGTGGGATGCTCCATCAGTGAGTTGGATTTTTGGAAGCTACTGGAGGACGGGATGAGGAAGTCTCTCTTGTCCCCAATGGGATATTAGGAAAAATTTCTTCACAGTGGAAGAAATATTAGGAAAAATTTCTTCAAGCAGTGGGACAGGCTGCCCAGGGCAGTGGTGGAGTCACCATCCCTGGAGGGTTTTAAATGATGTGTAGTTGTGGCACTTGGGGCCGCGGTTTAGTGGTGGCCTTGGCAGTGCTGGGGGCATGGTTGGAGTCAGTGAGCTTAGAGGACTTTTCCAACCTTAACAATTCTGTGTTTATAAGACCTGGAGCTGATCAGGTGGATGAGGGAGTTGCTGCCTGCCTGCCTCTCCCTGGGGGCTTGAGGACCACCAGGGTGACAAGGTGTCCATGGGGAGGGCAGTGTCCCAGTGAGGGGCAGACATGATTCCTAAATTGGCTGTTCCCAACCTGGTTGGTGCCTCCCAGAGCCTACAGGGAGCTGCAGGCAGGGGTTAGGCTGGAGGGTTTTCATCTCACAGATATATCACAATGATAAAAACCATCACAGAGCCAGGTTTTGCTGTTCAGTGAGCAGCAGGTGGGCAAACGTTTTAGCTGGCAACAGAGACAGGGACAGTCCCTGGGCCCGCTGAGCTGTGCCCCCGGGGAGATGCTCCACACACCAGTGCCCAGGTGGAGGTCACTGGTGGGGGCTTTCCCTGCACTCCCCATGCCTGTGGATGGCTGAGCATCACTTGGGCTGTCCCTCATCCCTGTGCAGGGCTCCAGGGTGCTCCCTCAGGTCTCTGCACCTCCTTAGAGTGTGTTTGCCGTGCTTCCCTCCCCGCCACGTCCAGGTACAGTGGCCATGGACCTGCAGAACACGGAATGTCGCCCTGCCAACAGCAGCAAACTGGCTCTGCCGGCCGAGAACGGCTCCGGGAACCGCCGGCCCAGCATCGCCCCCGTCCTGGAGCTGGCAGACACCTCGTCCTTGCTGCCCTGCGACCTGCTCAGCGACCAGTCCGAGGACGAGATGACACAGTCGGACGAGGAGGGGTCGGCAGTTGTGGAGTGAGTCCCTCTCTGTTCCTTGAACCCTTCCTTGGCTGGTTCATTCTGGTTGGATCCTCTTTGTTCTGGTTGGATCCAATTCATTCTGGTTGGATCCAATTCATTCTGGGTGGATCCTCTTTGTCCTAGTGGGATCCAGTTCTCTCTGGTTCATTCCAGTTTCAGAAAGACTGGGACCGTGGTACTCTCAGTGGTGCCCGAGGGATGCTCAGGCTCAGCCCCTCTCAGTTTTTCCATGACCACATGAACAGCTGTGCCATGGACAGTCCCCATGACCATGATCCTTTTGGGCTGCTTTGGAGAATTCTCTGGGAATCAGCAGAGTTGCCCCAAGGCAGATGCTGCTGGGGATGGGCAGGTTGTTCCGTCACTCCTCTCACCTCCTCCACTCACCAGTGATGTGAAGAGGGTCCTGTTCTCCATTGCACATAAATAAAAACCACAAAATAGATATTCACCACAGCTTTTAAGGTGTTTGTTAGTTTGTGACAGCCAGGGAAGGACTTACCTTACTGCTTTCCTGTCTGGACGGTGTCACAGCCATGTGGGGAGTTCCTGAATATCCAGGAACCCTCACAAACTGGTATGGAATTCACGTCCACTTTTAGCTGCTCTTTAAATGAAAATTTCTGCCTTTGATTCCATCAAAAGTACAAATGTTGATTTTTTTAAAATACCTGTTCACCAAAGCAAACTCTACAAATGGACCATGAAGTTTTTTGCTTCTTTATTTGGCTCAGCACTGTCCTCTCCTGGCCCTCACTGCCCTGTCTCCCTCCAGTGGTCCTGTCTGCTGCCTTCTCTACCTGTGCTGGGAACATGGAATGTGGGGCTTTAGCCCTGCATCTTTACAATCTCATGGCTCTTTGCATAGCAAAAAACATTCCTAAATATTTGTATATTTGGGAAAATTTCCAGCTGCTGCAGGAGACTTTTGCAGAGCATTTGCCACCGATGTGCTTGAATCCTGGGCTGCTGCTGTTAAATGTTTTTTTTCCTGAGTTTTGGATATATGGATGCTCTCCCCGTGCCCTCACACTGCTGGGTTTTCTCTCTGCTGCAGGTATGTGAAGGGTTACCCCCCAAACTCCCCCTACATTGGGAGCTCCCCAACTCTGTGCCACCTTTTGCCTGAGAAAGCCCCGTTCTGCTGCCTGAGGCTGGACAAGGTACGATGGGGCTGTGGGGGCTGCCTGGGGGCTGCAGCCCCCCCAGAACCACCTGCTGAGTCCCCCCCGCTGCCTCCCACCCCACAGGGCTGCAAGCACAACAGCTTTGAGGATGCCAAAGCCTACGGGTTCAAGAACAAACTGATCATCGTTTCGGCAGAGACGGCGGGGAACGGGCTGTACAACTTCATCGTGCCCCTCCGGGCCTACTATCGGTCCCGCAAAGAGCTGAACCCCATCGTGCTGCTGCTGGACAACAAGCAAGTACTTTTCCACGGATGTTTTCCATCGCACTGAGCCCTCCCTGTGTTCTTGTGGGCGTCTCATGCTGTGGGATGGGAGCGTGGGGCAACGGCGGTGCCGCCCACGGGTGTCTCGGCTGATGTTGGCCCTGGGTTTTGTGTCTGTCTTTGCCCCACGGGCTTGCTGAACCGCCTTGCTCTCTGTCGCTCTCCCTCCAGGCCTGAGCACCACTTTCTGGAAGCCATTTGTTGTTTCCCCATGGTTTACTACATGGAGGGCACCATCGACAAGTAGGTGTTTCCGTGCGTGGCTGTCGTGACTTACGGTGCTGCCTGAATGCGTTGGATTTATCCCAGCCCAGACTTTTGGGTCACCCCATGAGAAGCCCCAGGGTTGGCACCGGTAGAGCTGAGCCCACCCTTGGCTTCTCGGGGTGCCAACCCCTCCCTGGTAGATGGAAGCAGGTGAAGAGCTGGTGGTGGGGAGCAGGCTGGGCTGGCTGGAGCGCTGCGTGCCGCAGCGTGCTGCTTCCCTGTGTCCTTCCCAAGGGCTCACCCTGCGCTCTTCTCTTTGGGAACTGCCCAGCCTGGACAGCTTGCTGCAGTGCGGCATCATCTACGCCGACAACTTGGTGGTGGTGGACAAGGAGAGCACCATGAGCGCCGAGGAGGACTACATGGCAGATGCAAAGACCATTGTCAACGTCCAGACCATGTTCAGGTGAAGGGTGACCACTGACCACTGCTGGTGACAAGCCCGGGAAGGGTGTTGGTGGCCGGGGAGGTGGCTGTGGGCAGTGGGACACATCTGTGGTTGAGGAAACAGCTCCTAATCAGCTCTTTCTGTCCTCAAACAGGCACAGGGGTGGTTTTGGTCCTCCTCAGGCTATAACTGCAGAGAATGATCTCACCTCTGAGTGAACTGTAGGACAACAGGTCTCTTTCCATTGCAGGCTCTTCCCCAGCCTCAGCATTATCACGGAGCTGACCCACCCCTCCAACATGAGGTTCATGCAGTTCAGAGCAAAGGACAGCTACTCTCTTGCCCTTTCCAAACTAGAAAAGGTAAGAGAAGGTTGTCCCCTGCACGGGGGCCTGGGAAGTCACTGCTGGCAGTGACTGCATTTGAGCTCCCTGAAGTCCTGTGCTCTTGCCACGTCCAGAAAACCCAGTCCTGTCTCCCACATTTCCATGGAGAAAAAAACCTCTTTCCCTCAGTGCAAGGCTGCTGCCCTGGTTCCCTCCTGTCACACCCACCAGAAACACTACACTGGTGTCCTCCCCATTTCCATGAGCCCTCTAGTTTCTGTGCAACCCGTGCTCTCATCTCTCCTTCCTCTTCCAGAGAGAGAGAGAGAACGGCTCCAACCTGGCCTTCATGTTCCGACTGCCCTTCGCAGCTGGGAGGGTCTTCAGCATCAGCATGTTGGACACACTGCTCTACCAGGTGAGAGCCAGGTGGGCTCTGGGTGATGCACCCCTGCAGCTCTGGCCACCCCTTTCCACCTCCCAATGAATAACTGAGCAAACCTTTTCTCTGGTTTCCCACCCAAATGTCTCCCCCAGTCGTTCGTGAAGGATTACATGATCACCATCACCCGGTTGCTGCTGGGCCTCGACACCACGCCAGGCTCTGGATACCTCTGTGCTGTAAGTGCCAAGTCCCTTTGGGTTGTAACCACCGGGCCAGGTCTTTGTGGATCTGGTGGGATCCATCACCCTGCACATGTGGGTGGGGGGGTTCCCCTATTCTGGGGAGTCAGGGGGAGCAGCACTGCCAAGTCATTGTTCCCCTCCATTGTGGGGAACCTCGGCGCTACCAAAAGCCTCAGAGCTGCCAAAGACCACAGCCCCTGTTCTGAAGGCTGAGGTCAGAAGTTGCTCCTGGTCTTCTCGTGGAGTCCAGCTTGCCTTTGGGATTGTTGTGGATGAGCTGGGGTGAAGCTCAGGAGCAGCCCGAGGTGCTCCTCAGTGTGTTCTCTGTGGTTCATGTTTGTCCCCTGTTGCTCAGATGAAGATCACCGAGGATGACCTGTGGATCCGGACGTACGGCCGCCTCTTCCAGAAGCTCTGCTCCTCCAGTGCGGAGATTCCCATCGGGATTTACAGGACAGAGTCCCACATGTTCGCCACCTCCGAGGTACGGGCGCGGTGGTGGCACATGCCAGGAAGGGGCTGCTGGTGGGATCCATGAGGCCCCTCAGACCTGGTTTCAGCAGTGGTGGGAGGACGAGGGGAGGGGAAGCTCAGCCTTCCCTTCACGAGCAACCCCGTGGCAGTTTTGGGGGTGGTGTCCTGGATAAGCTGGGTCGGTGTCAGTGCCCGTCTCTCCGGGCAGCGCGGGCAGGGAGGGATGTCCTTGGCAGAGCTCTACCGTGCCACTGGGCATCCAGGGAGCAGGGGGGCACAGCAGGGCTGTCCCTTTGCCAGGCTGACTCTGCTTTCCCTTCCTTCCCCCCCGTTGCAGCCCCACGACATCAGAGCGCAGGTGAGTGCTGCTCGCGTCCCGCCGCGGGCACTCGGGTGCTGTGGGGCACTGCCCTGGTGCCAGTGCTGCCCTCTGGTCCCCCCAAACCAGGGGCTGATCCATGGGCAAGTGCTGTCCTAGCTCTGGCCACCGAGGGCCACCACGTGCCTTGTGCCAACTGTCAGCCCCAGCGCCGGCACGGCACTGCCCGTCCCCATGGCAGGGCAACGCTGGCTGAGCCTCACTCAGCACTCTGGGAAAAGTCCTCAGTGCCCTGACACGTAATTAACTGGGATAAGGAGCAAGGAAGTGAGCCAGGATCCCTCTTAAACACTGTCATTTTGCAGCTTTGTAGGAAGCAGCGACAGGGAGCCGAAAGTTGACATTTAATTAAACGCAGCCCAACTCTTTGAGAGGCCTTGAAGGGCTTTATTAATAAATTCCTGCTCACCAGTGGGATTGCTGGGTCGGAGATGTGGCAGCATTGCTGCTGTAAGAGGGAAGACAGGCAGATGAGGGCATGGCTGTGTCTCAGGCAGATATCACAGAGGTAATTGTGGAGCACTCAACAGTGCTTATCCCAGAGAAGCTGTGGCTGCCCCACCCCTGGAAGTGTTCAAGTCCAGATTGGACGGGGCTTGAAGCAACCTGGTCTATGGAAGGTGTCCCTGCCCATGGCAGGGTGTGGAACTGGATGATCTTTAAGGTCTCTTCCAACCCAAACCATTCCATCATTCTGTGAAATCTGCCAGCCAGGTAGTTTTTGCAGCACAGAGGTGAAGTGCCAGGAGAAGGGGGGGCCCAGAGGAAGGATCCCGTCCCACAAGGGGAGGGGGGGGGAGATCCCACCCCACCAGCCACAGGCCAAGCCATTCTTGGCTCCCCCACCCCCGTGACCTGCCGGGCTTCCAGTCACAGATCTCAATCAATGTTGAGGACTGCGAGGACACCAAGGACATCAAGGAGCACTGGGGGATCAAGACGAGCCACCACAGGAACTCGTGCTCCAGCGACCAGTCGGAGCATCCCCTGCTGCGGCGCAAGAGCATGCAGTGGGCCCGGCGGCTGAGCAGGAAGGGCAACAAGCACTCCAGCAAGACGGCCGAGTGGATCAGCCAGCAGCGCCTGAGCCTGTACCGGCGCTCCGAGCGCCAGGAGCTGTCCGAGCTCGTCAAGAACCGTATGAAGCACCTGGGCCTGCCCACCACCGGGTACGGTAAGTGCCGCCCGGCCGAGCTGCTCTGCGGTGCTGCGTCCCGTCCCGCCCGCGGGCTCCTCAGGTAACCCCCGAGCCGAGCCTAACCCGCGCCAAGCCTAACCCCAAGCTGAGCCTAACCCCAAGCTGAGCCTAACCCCAAGCTGAACCTAACCCCAAGCTGAGCCTAACCCCACGCCAAGCCTAACCCCATGCCAAGCCTAAACCTGAGCTTAACCCCGCACCAAGCCTGTCCCCGCAGGCGCTGCCGGGCCTGCTCCAAGCAGTGCCTCATTCCCCAGCTTGCTTGTGCTTGTGCGGCATTCCAGGCTGGGGTCCCGCCACGCAGACCCCCCTGCCCTGCCACCCCCCCACCTCTGGGCTCTGGGATGGCTCCAGGCAGGAGCTGGCAGTGGCAGTGGCACTCGCCCTCCTGCCCGCAGCAGGACCCGGTGCTCCCGCGCAGCCTCGGGGGGCGATGCCCCGCTTGCCCCCCACTTTCTGGTGGTTCAGGACACACCGGCCCCAGGTCAGCAAAGCCCCTGTGCTCGAGAGAGCCCCTGTAGTGCGGCAGGGAGAGGTGAAACCCCATCAGCTGGCGCAGACCCCGGTTGTTGTAGATACTTGAATCCGTCGTAAACTCTTCCGTGGAAAACCTTTCGGTAGCTGCAGGGCTGAGTTGCTTCATGGCGTGTGACACCGGTGTCTGGCTGTGACAGTGCTCAGGGTCCCTCTGTGCAGCTGCATTTCTCGTGAAGCTTCTGACCTGCCCGTCGGTGCTGCCGTCTGTGTCCCCCCGGACGACTCCCCACCCCTTGGTTATGACAAAGTCTGTAGCCCACAGCTCCCTTGGTTTGTTTGCTTTGGGTTTGGTTTTGGTTTTGGTCTTTTTTTTTTTTTTTTCCCTTTCTTTCTTTGAAGCCATCCTGTGCTGCTGCTTGTTTGCTCCATCCTCCAAGAGAGTCCGTCCACCCCGCGCCGGCCCCTGCCCACACTCAGGCTGGCACTGAGCCCCAGCTGGGTTTGGGACGTTTGGGGGGTGGGATCCCTCTTCTCCCATCTTGGCTTTAGGCACATGAAAGAGGAGGAGAGTATATAAAGTGCAGTGCAGGGAGGGTTTGGAGTGGAGGGCTGGCTGTGGGTGTCACCAGCCTTCCCAGGGAGGGAGGCAGGAGACCCAGCTTGAGGTGGGATGGAGGGAGCACAGGGAATGCCAGGCAGGGGCTTGCAGTGGTGTATCCCCCTCTCCTTTTTTCCCCTACATTCCTGGTCCCAGAAGTTTCTGCTGTAGTTTCAGGGGGGCTGCCTGGCCTTGGTGAGGCTTCCCAGGGGCCACCCCACCATCAGCCCCACTGGGGTTCTCAGGGCACATCCTGGGGTTAGATCAGAGTTGGCATCCTTGTCCTGGAAAATGTCAGTGGAAGCAAACTGGGGGATCTCTGGCAGGAGAAGAGGCAGTGGGGGGGTGCAGGACCCACATCCCGTCGGGGTGGGACAGGACCAGGGCACTGGGGCACCCTCAGCTCCCTGGCCCCTGTGGCACCTCTGCACCCAGCGGTGCTGGGGCTGTCTGTGTGTTGTCCCCACGTGTCACCGTCAGTGTCTGGCCACCCGTGGTGTTTTGGAAGCACACGTTGCTCTGCCTTCTGCCCCTCTCCTTTTTCTTTTGCTCATGTTATCGCTGCAGCGCAGGAGCTCGTCTCTGATATTGCCGAACCATGGCTTGCTGACCTCTCTCTCTCTCTCTGTTTATGTCTGTGCCTTTCCCTGTATGTTCTGTAGAGGATGTAGCAAATTTAACAGCCAGTGATGTGATGAATCGGGTAAACCTGGGATATTTGCAAGGTAATTCCCTTTCCCTGGGAGTCCCGCGTGACTCATGGCGTGCAGCGTACAACAAGATCATGCCAGCTAAGCCCAAACCTCACCCTTGCCAGTTTTCACCTTAGATCCCCGAGCTTTTCAGCACTAATTTGTTGGGTGGCATTGGAAATCAAAGGACTGGCCTGTAGTGGTGGTGCAAACTCAGGGCTTCGCTAAATCAGGGAGACAGAAACCTCAGGGACCCTTTTCTAGTTGAATTCCTACAGGGAAATCACAGCCCTCGCTGTCTCTAACAGAACCCTCCCCCCATGGCTCTGCAAGGTGGCTTTGGGCTGTGAAGCCAGTGGCAGTTTGAGGAGGGGACGAGCACAGCAGAGCTGCCTGCGCATGTCATGATGAGCTGCTGGAGCTCCTGCACCTTGGTGCATGTGGGTCAGCCCCAGGGGCAAGGCACCCCTTCAAAATCCCTTTGCACCCCTCGGTTTGCCCCCCTGAGCCCCTCTCCAGCATTGGCAGGCCCTGTTTTCTCACTGGGCTCAGCATGAGGTGCCACCGGTGCTGCAGCTGCTCTGGGCACCTCGTTGGGGTCTGCAGGAGCTGAGGGGTGTTTGCATTATTTTCATCTTTACACCACAGTGTGACGTGCCCTGGAGAGGCCCCTTTTTGCTGCAGCAGCCCTGAGCTTAGCAATAGTCTGACCCAGCTGCATTTTTGGCTTCACTGGGCCACGCTTAAGGTGAAACGTTGGCATTTTCCTGTAAAGTGTGTCCTTCATCAGAGAGGCAGCCCCAGCTGGGGCTCATGGAAGCCCCACTCCAGCAGAGTATATTGCCCTGGGCGCTGGGGTGATGGAGCAATATACTTGGTGTGCTCAGAGTGCCTGGCTTGGCTGCATGGGGGTCAGGAAAAGGTGCTTCCATGGAGCAGGGAAACCTGCCGCGAGCCAGGGCCCTCCCCACCTCCTGTCATGTCAAACCCCGTGTCTGCCGTGGGGTCCCAGGGTCTGTGTGCCCCCCTTGCCCCAGCATTGCCACCCCTGTCCCTGTCACGCTGTCAGGCTGGGCACTGGGATGGCCAAAGGTCCAGGGACCAGGGTCAGACACCCCGGCACAGGTTGGGGGTCCCACACAGCATCTCCCCGCCCAGCTACAGCACCTTCTGTGGCCTCAGAGGTGCCAGGGATGTGTCTGAGGAGCAAAACGATGGTCTGGTGTCCCCCTGCAAGCACTGCTGCGTGTGGTACCTGCCTGAGGTGCCCCGGGGTTCATCTGGACACATCCTGGCAAAGGCAGCTCAGGAGGAACCTGTTTGCACCCCTGTGCTGGGTGGCTGTGGAGGCTGGAGCTGCTGTGGCTCATCCCAGAGCTGGAGAAAAGCCCCACTTCAAAGGTTTCACCCCCGTGCTGGGGCTGAAGAGCAGCTGGGCCACCCCCCCGTGCCAGGG